TTTTTCTTTATATATATATATATATAAAGAAAAAGAAGAAGCAGCAACAACAGGATTCTTTTGGCATGTCCTGCCATCTCATCCTGGAACTCAGAGAAATAACACTTTGGGTTTGAAGAAAGAATAATGATGTAGAAATGTCTATGCTGTTTTTAGTCATTCTAGGTGAAAAATATTTAGCTCAGAGAGTTTCTAGATTCTAAGCCAGACTGACTGTAGAACCCTGACTATTTCCAGGGTACCATACTGTCTCATGGTTACTACCAGACTTCCCAGGAACCTATCCCATGTGCCACTCAAGAAAACACTGCTTGTTTGAAATGCCAAACTTCCGAAGTCTTATACAGCTTCAGTAATTATGTATGATCATTGTTGTCAGCTTTCAGGGAGCTAAGAACAAATTTGTACTGATATATTTGTATTTTTTCCTCTCTGTCTCTGTCTCTCTTTCTGCATTCTTAGTGTCTAAAACAGTAAAGCATATTCAGTTCATGGACATTCAATTCAAATACTCATCAGTGAGTACATATTTATTTAATTAGTGGATTATCTATCTTAGAAATCTATGACTCCATATCATCTAGCCATCTGCCCAAGCTAGAATTTTAAGAGACTTAGACTCTCCCCTTCTTTTTACTCCCTTCCCATAAAACCCATGACCAAGGGCTATGGATGTAGCTCGGTGGTAGAGCACTTGCCTATCATGTGGAAAACCCAGGGATTCACCCTAGTACTGCAATTTAAAAAAATCCATCACTAAGTCTTATGGATTTATTTCCTTAATAGCTCTTGCATTTGTCACCTTGCTCACTCATCTCTTCATCTAGTGCCTTTGTTCAGTCCCTCTCTGGCCACTGATTCAGTCACCTCCCAACTGGTATCCATGCCTTTTCTCTCTTTCCCTCTGAGCCCATCAACACCAAAACAGTTAATACCACTCTTGCTGACAATCCCTAAATGTCTCCCATAATTCAAAATGATAGTCCAAATTCAATACTTATGAGTGGAGACACTTGATCTGGCCTACCTTCTAATTTTACTTCCTATCACTCTAAACATTCTTAGCTACAGCAGTACTGAACCAGGTACATTTTGCCAAGTGATGCTCCCATGACTTTACACATATTCTCCAGTCAACCAAGAACATCTTTCCTTAACTTTTCTTTTGTCTCACTAAATTCTACAGACCTTTTGGAACTCAGCTCCTGCTGACTTTTTCAGAATACCCTCCCCCACTCTTAGAGTTGTGGGACTCTTCTGTGCTCTCAGAACCCTGTGTATTCTTGATACTTAAAACACTGTCCTGTCATTGCTGATGTACAAGCCTATCTCCTCTGTCACCCAGACTATGTGTAATCAAATGCAGAGATTCTTCTACTTTATTCTTTTGTAATTGCCAAAACCTAGCCTAGGATCTGGTCCATAATAGCTTTCAACTTAATAAGTGGTTATGTGATAAATTCATGAGGTCTTGTGGCCTAATAATGATGCTTTTATTTTCTAGCTACATGGTTCAGTGGCCTGGTGGCAGAATCCTGCATCGCCATGAGCTAGACACCTTTCTTGCACAGGCAGTGTCTACCCAGCTTTATGAACCAGATCAACTCCAAGAACTCAAGGTGATTTGATTCTACCTTTATTTAACTTTTTCCTGTACTGTAGGGTCTTTTTCTCCCGGAACGGGGGGGTGGGGGAAATGAGTTCTGCAAGTAAGGATTGACTTACCTTAGTCAAATATACAAAAATCTGTCAGTAAAATCAAAAGATGCCTGCTATACTATCCCCATATTGATGGATGAAAATGGACAATAAAGATGGATATTATGCAAGGCAAATAAATCATGGCCCATAGACTATGTGTCCAACTCTCTTTGTAAAAAAATAACTTTTTGGCCAGGCACAGTAGTGTACAATTATAATCCCAGTGGCCTGGGAGGCTGAGGCAGGAGGATCACAAGTTCAAAGCTAGCCTCAGCAACAGCAAGACCCTGTCTCTAAATAAAATTTAAAAGGGCTGGGGATGTGGCTCAGTGGTTAAGCACCCCTTAATTCAATCCCTGGTACCAAACAATTTTCTTTTGTTTGGTGTCACTAAGTTGCTGAGCCTAGCCTTGAACATATGATTTTCCTGCTTTAGCCTCCTTGGTTTCTGAGATTACAGGTGTGCAGCATAATGCCCACCTCTGACTCTTATAAGAAGTACTATAGGGGACTTATCCTGGTATCCCTGCTTATTTCTGAATAAATGTCCATCCCCCCTTTAATAATACATACTGGGTACTAGGGGGAAGTATAGAAAAGCATGAGGAAGAAAATAAGTCCACCATGTAATTGAAGGCAGTACAGGATGGTAGCATAAATGATAGGCTCTCAAGGAACGCTGCCTTCAGTTTGAATTCTGGCTTCATAATGTCCCAGCTGTGTGACCTTGGACAGGCTACTTAAACTCTCTAGCTTTAGTTTCCTTACTTGTAGGATTTTGAGGATATTAAGTAAAATAATATATGTAAATAGTCTCTTGCATATTTTAAGTTCATAGTACTCAATAAATATTGCCTGTCAATGCAGAATATCCCAACCCCTGACTTCAGTAGCTATGTTCTTTTGAGGCCCTAAGGTAAACCAGAAGATCAAATGAATAAGATTTGCAAAACTGAGCTGGGTTCAGTGACAACACATCTGTAATCCCAGTTACTTGGGTGCTAGAGCAGGAGGATCCCCTGAGCCCAGGAGTACTAAACTGGGTAACAAGGAGAACTCTTCTCAAAAAAAAATAATAATAATAATACTTGGGGATAGGAGTGTAGCTCAAAGTTGTAGCACTTACCTAACATACAAGAGGCCCTGGGTTCAATCCCTTGCAATCCCTTGTACTAAAAAAAGAAAAATAGGGATCGGGATGTGGCTCAAGTGGTAGCGTGCTCACCTGGCATGCATGAGGCACTGGGTATGATCCTTAGCACCACATAAAAATAAAACAAAGATATTGTGTCCCTCTAAAAAACTAAAAAATAAATATTTTTTTAAATAAAAAATAAATAAAAAAGAAAAATACTTGTAAAATTTTAATTTAAACTGGGTACACTGTTGTATGTCTGTAATCCTATCTACTCTGAAGACTGAGGCAGGAGGTTCAAAAGTTCAAGGACAGCCTGGGCAAATTAGTAAGACCCTGTCTTAAAATTGAAAAAATTAGCCAGGCACAATGATGCTCACTTGTAATCCCAGTGACTAGGGAGGCTGAGGCAGGAGGGTCTCAAGTTCAAAGCCAGCCTCAGCAACTTAGTGAGGTCCTAATCAATTTAGGGTTAATCACCTGTGGGTTCAATCTCTGATACAAAAAAAAAATAAGAGCTGGGATGTAGCTCAGTGGTAGAGCTCTTGACTCACCTTTATAAGGCTGTGGATTCAATCCCCAGTACAACAATAGCAAAAATCTTAATTTATTTCAGATCAACTATGGGAAAGATGCAATCATCCTAGGACAAAAAGTGTTTCCTTTTTGGAGTAAAGTAGTATGGCTGGATGGTAGAGCAGCTCCTGATGCCCAACCACATCTAGCAGGCACCTGAAAATACTTACCTTTTTCCTATTGAAGCCATCTAACATACCAACTTGAGATAACCACTGTGAAAACTGTTGATGTTTTCTTCCAGTGGTTTTTTTGTGTGTGTTATGCTGAGGATTGACTCTTTCAGACTTTTGTCATGCATATTGATGTTTCTTAAGTAGTTATAGCCACAGTTTCTGTGTATGCAGATTGAACCAACCACAGATGTATAATATTTTTTTAAAGTTGCATTAATACTAGATGTGTAAACTTTATTTCTTGTCATTATTCCCTAAATAATACACTATAACAGCTATTTACATTTCATCTACATTGAATATTAGGAATTATACATAATCTATATGCTATAAAGTATATAGGAGGATATGTGTAGGTTATGCAAATACAAAAGGGACTTGAATATATATGAATTTCATTATGCTTGTTGGGAACCAATCCCCAGTGATACCAAGTGATGACTATATTGTGTTTTTTTCCCACAATATAACATATATTTTCTGTAGGTTATAAATTTTAGTAAATATTTTATCATATGGATGTATCATTTAATTATTATAATGTTTATAGTTTTCCCCTGTTATATGTAATGTTATAATTAGCATCTTTATGGATAAAATTTTATTCACATCTCTACTTCTTAGAATAGATTCTTAAAGTTGATATCCTCTAACCTTATGAGTAACTTTCAAGTCATCTCAGGGAAAAACATAGATAAAAGCTAATTGTGCATTCAAAGGTCTGTATTAAAAAGCACATGTTCAAATTTAACTGCAAGAATTAGCATGACAGAAGGGCCGGGGGTGTGGCTCAGTGGTAGAGCACTTTCCTAGCATGTGCAAGGCTCTGGGTTCAATCCCCAGCACTGAAAAAAATAAAAAGAAAGAACTACTTTGTCAGGAATAAGAATAAATGTTATCAGTAACAGTACACGTTGAATATCCCTTATCAGCAATGCTTGGGGCCAGATTTGTTTTGGATTTCAGATTTTGTTTGGATTTTTAAGTATTACATATACCTAATAAGATATCTTGGAGCTAAGATCCAAGTCTAAACATGAAATGCACTTGTGTTGTATATGCTCATACATATAGCCCGGAGGTAATTTTCTATGATATTTTTAGGGTAACTGCATTTTGACTGTGACCTGTCATGTGAGGCCAGGTGTGGTTGTTTTCACCTGTGGGATCATGTCTGTGCTCAAAAAGTATCATATTTTGAAGCAGTTTAGATTTCAGATTTTCAGATTAGGGATGCTCAACCCTAGTTTGTGTTTTTTTTTTTTTTAATTTTTTAGTTGTAGTTGGACATAATACCTTTAATTTTTTATTTATTTTTATGTGGTGCTGAAGATCGAACCCAGGGCCCAGCACGTTCTAGGCAAGCACTCTACTGCTGAGCCAGCCCTCAACCCTAGTTTTTTAATACTAATTTCTCCTCTATGGTTGTTTCAGATTGAGAAACTGGATGCCCGAGGGATTCAGCTTGCTGCCCTCTTCATGAGTGGGGTCGACACAGCTCTCTTTGCAAATGATGCCTGTGGCCAGCCAGTCCCTTGGGAGCACTGCTGCCCCTGGATTTACTTTGATGGCAAGCTGTTCCAGAGCAAGCTCATTAAAGCAGGCCGAGAACGAGTATCCCTGGTTGAACTCTGCGATGGCCAGGTACCAGCACATTGGGCAGTTGCTGAGGGCCATCTCTAATCTGCTGAACGGGAATGAATGAATGGGCAGGGAGAGGAAAAAGAGCTGAAACATTGGAGAGGGAGGGAGCAGAAGTGGGAAAAGTGTTTCTAACCTTAACCTAATTGAACCAACATGGCCCCAAACCCCAAGTATAATCTTGTAATGTACATGTTATAAAATCATATGTTGAAAGTTTTTTTAATGTTTTATTTTGAGACAGGGTCTTGCTAAGTTGCTTAGGGCCTTGCTAAATTGCTAAGGCTGGCTTTGAACTTGTGATACTTCTGCTTCAGCCTCCTGAGCCACTGGGATTACAGGTGTGCACCACCATCCCAGCTTGTTGAAAGTTTTTGTATGAGCTTGAAGTAATCATGTCCTTTTTCATATTTCTTCCCCATGGAATACTCAGTCATAGTATATGCTTTTTCTCTAACTCTTAGGATTTCATTTCCCTTATTTACAAAAACTGTAAGTCACTTTTGCATGTGATGATCTTTTTTTTTGTAATGAAACTGTTTAGAAATAGGTAAAGCAGATGAAAGGGTAGAAGTGGAAGAATTTTTACAGCCAAATTTTGGAAAAAGTGAGAAAAGACAAGGGAGTGGAAAGATTACTCACTCTTTCATCCATTTGGAGGGAATTAGCTGAGATTTTAGAGCAGGGGTCAGCAAGCTACTCAGTCTGCCTCCTGTTTTCTGCAAGACAGTCCATCCCCTGTTTTTGTAAATAAAATTTTATTGGAACACAGCCACATTCATTTGTTTGCATATCACCTCTGCTTTCATGCAACAGTGGCAGAGTGGAGTAATTGTGGCAGACACAGTGTGACACACAAAACCTAATATATTTACTATTCTACCCATTCCAAAAGAAGTTTGAGCCTAAGCAGAACTTAGGGTCTCCAATCCTGCAGATAGGGGAGAAAGTTGAAATTAAGGCTTCCTATATATCGGGTTTTTGTTCTTTTCTCTTTTACCTAATTCTGTTACCTGTCCCTTAAAAAATGACCTAACCTACCTGCACAAGGACTTGTGTTCAATCCCCAACATTTCAAAAGAACAAAAGAAAGAAAATAAGATAAAAATAAATTATCTATCCTATTGCTGGCCATGTAAGAGACCATCAGTAAATTCTTATTGTTATATTTGTTTTCATTGGTCTAGTTAATGTGCCTCACAAACCCTCAGTCAATACTAATATGATTGGTAGTGTGGTTTCATGAGAAGAGTGAGGGCTTTGGTGTTAGATGGGCTTCTTGAGTGTGTGGCCTGAAGCCATTTAACTCCAGACGTCAATTCCCTTAATGGGAATAGAATTGTGAGGCCATACCTAAAGTGCTCAATAACTGAGCCTGAAACATAGGAGAAGTTTAAAAGATGGCAGCTGCTATTACTATTTTCTCCTTATTTGAAGGCTGACCTGGCAACCAAAGTGGAAAAGATGAGACAGAGTATCCTTGAAGGAGTCAACATGAATCATCCACCACCTTCTGCTCTACTTCCATCACCTACTTTTGTGCCTCCTATGGTGCCCTCTCTGTACCCTGTTTCACTTTATTCCCGAGCCATGGGTTCAATGCCACCTCCCCCTCAAGGAAGGAGCCGAGGGTTTGCAGGTCAGTATGTCAGAATGAGGTATTTACCATCCAATTCATTTCATAATAACCAACCAGTACTCATTGTTATTACAGAATTACCAGTTTCATATATATCATACTTCATTTACATTCTGTGCTCTGTTGTGGTAGTTTGAGGAGCATCCTATTTGAGATGGAGGGATGCAGACTGGGAAAGAAAGTCCTATGGATTCCCAGACCTCTCTCCATAGAGGTAGTTGGTCCCCAGGAATTTGACTTTAACCAACCAAACTCGCACAGTGACTGACAGAAAAAACAGGATTGACTTTTTTATTTTAAGAACTACAATTCATATGAACTGGATCTGTATGTTTGCACAGAAGCTTGCAGGAAGAGCAGTAGGAATAAATGACCAATGGGAATAAATTATTTGATATAGCCATTTCTACTCTGGGGGTTGACCTGACACATTTCCCTTCCTTCTGCTCCAGAAGCATAGAGATAAATGTAAATGTCATTGTTCATGCCTCCCAAAGGATTACAGGTTAGTAGGGGAAATAAATGCACAAATATACATACAAATACACACATATACATGTAAACATATACATATATGTATAAATTATGGTGACATTTGAGCTGCTCCTTAACAAGAAATCAACAAGCATGCTTAGGTAGCCCTAATATTTTAAGCAACCTGATATTTTAAGCAACCTGTCTCCTGGTGAAACAGGATATTTTAATGAGAACCTTTTAACATGAAATAGCATGAGTCTGTGATCATGTGAGAGTGTCATTGCTATGTTGAATGTGTGTGTTGTTCATTGCTCCTCTCTTAAAAAATGATCTTTTGGGGAATCACAAAATTCAGTATGGATGTTTAGTTCAAAGCTGGGCTAGATGAGCAGTGTGAAAGTCAGCTCTTCTTCAGTTGGGTAATAATCAAATCTTAAAATCCAGGAAACTAGCTATTTCATTACTTTAAAGTGGTTCTACAGATCTCTCCTCTGATTATTTGTTTTTATTTCATTTTGTTTTATGTTACCAGGGAGTGAATCCAGGGCCTTGCACATGACAGGCAAGTGCTCTACCACTGACCTATATCCCCAGCCTTTTTGTTTGTTTGTTTTGTTTTGTTTTTGAGACAGGGTCTAACTTGCTGAGTCTGGCCTGGAACTTATGATCCTCCTTCCTCAACCTCCAAGTAGCTGAGATTAGAGGCACATGCCACCACACCCAGCTCTTCTTTGATTCTTTGTGTGTTGTCTTTATTCTGTAAGTCTCAGAAGTCATCTTAATTATGGCCAACTTCTCAGGAGGTTGTCACCATTGTCCCAGCTACCAGTAATACTATAGTCTCCAGGTAGTGGTGGTCCATGGTAGCCTCCTTCCTCCCAAAAGGACACAGTAGAAATATAAATTTTCCTTGCCCCTTTTAAGAGTATAGTTCCTACCTCCTGGGATTCTCACTTTTATACAAACAAAGAGCTCTTCGCTAACTACTTGATTAATGAGTTAAGGGTTATTACCTTTGGGTTTTTTTTTTCCCATAAACTAAAATGCCTATTAGAACTCTATACATATTCTTTGATGGCCATATTACAAACCTCAGCTATGCTTGTGGGTTTACATACACAGAGTTGGAATTTCCTCTGTCTTAAATAACTATATTACCATCCTGTCTTGAATGGTCCTGAGTTTCAATTATTACTTTTCTTGCTTTTTAATTATAAATTGCTGTTATTCTAGCTTCTTTTTTTTCCTGTTTAGTTTGGTTGTCTGGCTAATCGTATAGTGGGTAGTGATACATATCTGTATCAAGAGTGGGTTTAACCTATAATTTTCTAGTAACTATATTTTAAGATATTATTCCAACAGATATTGAATTCTGACTTCAATATTCAACAGATATTGAATTCTTACTGCTGGGCTCTATAGTCAAAAATGAAATCACTCATACCTGTTATTAAAATGGATATATATATATATACACCCATACATATACAGATCTTTTACCACCTCCCCCTATATTTGCTTCCATCATGACTCCATGTTATTTGCATAGTCTTCTTATCAGAGAGAAATGGAGATAAGATTGTAGGACCTTGCACTTAGCATTCTTTGCTGCTGTTCCTCCTCTCTTGCCAGGTCTCCATCCAATCCCACCCCAAGGAGGAAAACTGGAGATTGCTGGTATGGTGGTGGGCCAGTGGGCTGGCAGCAGATCCTCCAGAGGCCGAGGATCCTTTGGCATGCAAGTGGTTTCTGTCGGTGGGCCAGGAAAGGGGTATGTATTCAAATGGGTTGGTATGAGCTAGTGTCAATCAAGGTGCCCTTGGGAAATGACCAGCTATTGAATCCTTCTATTATGGTAAGAGGCATTAACCAACTATCCATATTTAAAGCCAATTTTCTGTTTAGTTCAGCAAACATATACTAAATATTCTGCCTTGATGAAAAAAAGTTTTGTACTAGAGAAAGTGGAACAGTATAATACAGTATATGTACTATATGGTAATATAATATGAAAAGGACAGAAACATAGGTTTATAATAGTAACTGGGGAGGGGCATCTAACTAAGCTGTGTCAAACTTCCTAGAGGAGATGAGCAGCTAACCAAGTGAAAATGATATGGATGTGGGCTTTGTGTTTCTCATGATCATTTTTTCTCCCACTTGCTAAAGGCATGGAAAAGAGCAGACTGGTAGAGGATCCAAAGGACACAAAAAAGGAAATAAACAAGTAAGTACCTTTTGTCGAGACTCTTTATTTTCTGTTTGATAATCTTCTTTTTTTAACTGAGTTGCCAGACATCACAGACATGGAAACCTGAGCTACTCAGGGAAGGAAGTTGTCATATCTTCTCCAGGCATTTGATTCCATTCCCCTCCTCTCTAAAAGTCTAGTGAGGGTTAGCCTGCCTAGAACTCTTCCTGCAGGGCTGCAGAGGCACATCCTTAACCCTGAATGAGGCCACAAGGCAGATTCAAATGTGTCCTAAAGACCTGTGTCTAACATAGTATTTTCTACATAGATACAGAAAGGTACCAGAGTGTAATGAACAGTGTAGTTGCCTACAGTCTGCCTAAGCTTCTAAGGGGCCACCAGAAATGTTTGAACAGTGTTTTGCACTTTGCTGAATGTGGAAAAGGGAGGGGGCATTAACATTCTGCTTGTTTTTAAAATGTTTTTATTAGTGCATTATAGTTATACATAATAGTGGGTCCATTTTGACATAATCATACATGCGTAGAATATTATTTGCTCCATTTCAGTCCCCAGTACTTCCCCCTTCCCTCCTCTCATCTCTCCCCCTGTTCCCCTTCCTCTATTCTACTGGTATTCCTTCTATTTATTTGTTGATTTTTTAAATTGGATACACACACATACACATACACACACACATATACTTTCACTGTGGTGTATTTATATATGTACATAATTTGGTCAATCCATTCCACAGTTCCTCTATTTCCTGTCCCTCCCTCTTCCTCCTAAATTCTCTTCCTCTACTCTACTGATCTTCCATCTATTTTCATAGGATACCCCTTTTTATCCATATTTTCCTGTAGATTCCATGTAAGAGAGAAAACATTCAACTCTTGACATTCTGGGTCTCATGTTTTTCATTTAGCTTTATGATTCCATCCATTAATTGGCTAGTGAAATAATTTCACTCTTTATGGCTGAGTAAAACTCCATTGTGCATACATATCACATGTTCTTTATTCATTCCTCTGTTGGTAGTCATGTGGGCTGGTTCCATAACTTGGCTATTGTGAATTGTACTGCTAAAAACATTGAGATGCCTGTATTCTTATAGTATGCTAATTTTACTTCTTTTGAATAAATACCAAGGAATGAGATAGCTGGGTTACATGGTGGTTCCATTTCTAGTCTTTTGAGAAATCTCCATACTGATTTCCAAATTGGTTATACTAGTTTATAGTCCCACCAACAATGTGTGAGTATAACTTTTCCCCTATATCCTCACCAGCATTATTTATTATTTGTGTTCTTTTTTTAATGAGGTGCTAGGGATCCAAACCAGTGTCTCATACATGTTAGGCAAGTGCTCTTGCCACTAAGCTACAGCCCCAGCCCTATTATTTGTATTCTTGATTATTATTGCTGTTATAACTAGAGTGAGATAAATCTACGTGTAGTTTTGATTTACATTTCCCTGATTGCTAGGGATGTTGATTCATTTTTTCAAATATTTGTTGGCAATTTGTATTTCTTCTTTTGAGAAATGTATGTGTAGTTCTGCTTATTATTAATGACTCAGAAAGGTCTTAAACTTTCTTCCAATCTATGCCTTGAACTATATCATAGTTCCCACTGATCCTTATTAGACATTCCCCCCCACCTCAAAATATAGACTATGCGAAACTATTCCTGTACTGATCTAAAGTCTCATATAGGGGCTGTGCGTGCAGCTCAGTGATAGAGCACTTGCCTAGCACTTGCACAACTGAGTTCAATTCTCAGAATTACAAAATAAAAATCTGGTACTGAACTCAAAACTGCTAGGCTTCTCATAGTATTACAAAAAAAAAAAAAAAAAAAACTCTTGAGGGCCTGCTCTCCACCAAGCCCCATACATTTTAAATGCAGTCTCTAATCCTAAGCAATTTTGTCATCACTTCTCAATAGTAAATCTACTCTCCTATATACCATCCACCCTCACTGCATCCAGGCTAATCTCCAACATCTAATGTTTCCTCAAAGAATAAAAATTTTCTTTAATGTTATTTTAAGCAAAAATTGAAGCTGGAATATCACACAAAGCATTTTATAATGCACCCAAAGTTAGAGAGCAGTGATTTTGGGAGAAAGTACTGTACCAGTGATCTACATCCTCAGCTCCACTATTTTGGGAGTTTTTTAAAGCTGCTCACCTTTTTCCAGAAACTGCTCACTAAGGTAAAAAGGATTGCAGCTAGATGGAAAATTAGTCAGCCACATAGGTTTCCACAAGAAGATACAGTTTTGGTGAATTCACCATGATTCAGGATTTGATCCTCAGCTGTAAAATCTGAAAAAAATCTTCTAATTTTAGCACAAAAGGAGTAGATCAATTTCTCTGTGGTTGACTCATACCATCCAGGATCACAAAAGTGTCAATACCACTTACGTTATGACTGGGCAGTAGGGGAAAAGGAAGGAATTAAGAGATAAGTACTAGTAAGTACTGATTTATGATAAGAAATTATTATTACAATGTATTGCACACATGCTCTTTTGGAGTCACTCTTAAAAATGTATGAGCTCTGGCTGGGGTTGTAGCTCAGTAGTTGAGTGCTTGCCTTATATGCGTGAGGCACTGGGTTCTATCCTCGGCACCACATAAAAATAAATAAATAAAACAAAGATATCGTGTCCATCTACAACTAAAAAAAAAAGTTTTAAAAAATGTATGAGCTCATCAAAGCCACATGAATACCCTGTAAGGTACTTATTACTCCCCATTTAAAATAAGATGAAACAGAGGCCCAGAAAAATGAAGGACCTTGCCACAACTTATCCATCAAGTCAGTTATCAGAGATAACATTCCTGTCTGAGCTAACTGATTCCAGAGCCCTGTCCTGAATTGATGCCAACACAGCATAATGACTCATTGTTAAAGACAAAAGTCAGACCCAGGTCTGGCTGACTGTAGTGCACATATCCTTAACCATTACTGCCAGAAATTTCTTTCTCTAAGTTTAAAATAGAAGAGAGACTACAGTATTAGAAATTTTCTTGGGGCCATAGAATCAGAATAATGATGTTAGTTACCACTTGAGTTGTGCAAGACACAACATGTTCTAAATGCTTTACATGGAGTGTCTCATTGAATCCTTACAGGAACCTATGAAGTATATACTATTAGTCTCTATTTTACAGATGAAGAAAGTGACAGAAAACAAGGGATGGCAGGATCTTAAGTTTCTTGTAGATATGATTCCTTCTATTCTAGAGGGAAATCCTTGTGTTGACCTTGTTTTTAGCTAAGGCATCTTCACTAGACGGAGCTGCTGCTACCTTGCTGACTCGCCTTTTATGCAGTCACACTTTCTCCAGGGCATGAGATAATTAATTATTCTAGCCTACTAAATCTTATTCTATAGTCCTCTCTTCTGAGATCATCATTGTTTTATATGTTCTCAAGTTATTAAGTCACTTGTTTCTAATATTTTTATTTCTTTGTGGACTCCCTCAGATAGCTCACTCCATCCTTTGTGTGGATTTTACTAGTTTCATCTTATTTCCATTTTCTTGAGCAACACTTCTTAGTAACCTCCATGTTGTATAGACCTTTAAGCCCAAGGATTTAGCTTTGCATCAGGCTTTGCAATTTACCGGTTCTGTGGCCTTGAGCAAGTTACTTAACCTCATGCCCTAGTTTCCTCATGAATATAATAGAGAAAATATTATCTACCTTGCAGGGTTGTGAGGATTAAATGAGATGACATATGTAAGGTGTGTAGCACAGAGCCTGGAACATGGGAAGTACTCAATGAAAATTAGTAGGTGTTATTTATAATCAACCACAAATTCAACAGGTATTAGCTTTCCATTATGTATTGTACCTTATTGGAAAGAACAAGGCCTCTGGGCTCAAACAGGCTTGGATACAAATCTAGGCATACTAGTGACCTTAAGCAAGTCATTTTATTGTTTTTTGTGGGGGAGAGACTCTATTGTCTTATCTAGAAAATGAACAGGAAACTGTATAGCATGTCTAACCACATGGTAATCAGAAACTACTGTTATTCCTACTAACATTCATCAAGAATCAGCACTAGCCCGCAAGGTAATGCAGTTAATGTCATTTGCAATAGCAGTTAACATTCTTGGGATTAAAAGAAAAATAAGTGATTATTTTTAGTTATAAGAAGAACCAATAAAAATTTAAAAAGAGAGGGAAATGCTGATTACACTGATTTGATCAGTGCATACTGTAAGCATTTGTTGAAATATCACACTGTCTCATTAAATATGTATAATTTGTAATTAGATAAAATAAATAAAAATTTTAAAAAGATCCTCTGGTAGTTAAAATGGTAAATTTTATGTTATATTTTTACCACAACAAAAATTAAAATAAAAAAATAAGATTCTGTGGAATATTACACATAAATCTGTTTTTTTCTTTTCCTTTTATTTATACAACCAATCACAGCATTAGACTATTTTGCATGGAAGTTGAGAGACTAGAGGCTGACACAAATGAAGAGGAATTCTGGTCCAACCACTTTCTATCTTAAGCAAGTTACTTTCATCTTCCTGAGACTCAGCTTCTTTGTTTATAAATGGGACATCATAATATCTACCATTTAGATCACTATAAGTATTAAAAAAAATAAAACATGCCAGGGGTATTGGCTCACACCTGTAAACCCAGCAGCTCAGGAGGCTGAGGTAGGAGGATTGCGAGTTCAAACCCAGCCTTGGCAACTCAGTAAAGCCCTGTATAAGACCCTGTCTCTAAATAAAAACAAATTTAAAGGGCTGAGGATATGGTTCAGTGTTTAAAGTGCCCCTGAGTTCAATCCCCAGTATTAGGAAAAAAAAGAAGAAAAAAATATATATATCGTAAAGTTTGGTAAGCAGTACCTGTGTCATTATTGTGTTATCATTGCCATCAGATTTTAGTCAGATCAATCTGTTTTACCCTAAATTCTCAGGCAATTATCAGAATACTATCCTGATAGTATTGATATTCAGTGTCAAGCTTTAATCTGTGTTGTATTTTTAAAGAACTGAACCAACTTCCTCAGGTTTGTTTATGAACATGTTTGGGAATGGCTAGCCAGTTTGAGATTAACATTTCCACTGAGCATCTATCTCTGTTTTTGACAGGGCTCTTCAGATGGAATTTCTAAATCCCTGGAGCTTCGTCAAGGGCGGTCCCGCTCACAGGTAAACGGAAACAATGGCACATTGATCAAGGAAGAGAAGAGTGATCATCGTCTTCCAGCTCCATCACAATGTGCCTTATCCAGAGACAGCAACGTGTGTAATAATGGTAACCGCTGCCTCCCTGTGAAGAATGGGGAGAAGAACCGCTTACAAGAGCAAAAACTAGAAACTGTGGCACAACGGAAAGAGGAATGACAAGCTGAAGATGGCTTCACCAGTCAGGAAGAGGGGAAAACTATACTTTTCTGATTCTAGGCCCAAGTTAGAGGAGGCTATAAATGCTTGCCCTAGATTTATCCAGGATTTTGATAAGATATCCTATTGAATTCATCTATTCCCCTTCTCTATCTTATTCTGGGTCCCCCGACCTAGGACCCAGGGAATTTCTGGTTAAAGGTGAATAGCAACAAAACTAGTTTCAATTCTCAAATTTAATATAATAGTACCAATATTCTCTTTATCTCCTCTGGGAGGCTAGTAAGGCAGTAACTGTCAGAAAGCAGGTGTTATCATGTAAAGTCCTATATAAAAGTTCCAGCTTTGGTTTTCTGAGTATCTATCATGGCATTCATTTGCAGACTTACGTGATAAACCTGTGGGGTCAAGGGAACAGCTGTCTATGGCTTGCTCACTATTTTTCCTCTATGAAGTGAAGGGGCTGACCTTGATATATAATCAGTATCCACTTCCTCCTCACTCTTTCTCCCACCTCACATACCCCAGGATTTTTGTATACCACCTCTAACTCTGGCCTGACAATCAGATAGGTAGATGTTTTCAGGGAAGTGAGTAGTATTGGTTATTTTATTTTATCTTATTTTATTTTATTTTTTATTTTATACACTTAAAAAAACTACCAATGGCCTTTGTACTGGGAGATTCAAGTGAGTCGGAAAAGTACTGGGCAGATTTTTCCTGCCTCTCAACCAGTGCATTGTTTGTAAAATAGAAGATGTGGTGCAGTTCACCCACTCTCTGCTGCCCACACCCTGAAAGGGTGGGAATCAATGTTATGAAACTGAGTACGAAAGGGACTCAAAAGACTCTGTGTGTATGTGTGTGTGTATGTGTGTGTATGGGTGTGTGGGTGGGTGTATATATGAATGCGTGTATCTATATGCATACACATACCCTTTATATAAAGAGACAGATCTATTTATCTATACATATTTTATATATATATATATATATATATATAAGTGTGTGTGTATATGTGTATGCATACACATACATACATACATGGTGATGTCCCAGAAGATTTACTGAATTTCCCAGAAATGCTTCCACTGCTATGGAGTGGTGGGTTTCAAAAGATCACACTTTAAATCTAAAATCCTTACTAAGTCACAGCCCATTGCAATTATGAGAAGATGGGCTACTCTAAATCAGACACAAAGTACTCTCCAGAGATTGCCTGTTCAGAACAACACTTGGGTTGTTACAAGCTTAATCTTGAACAGAGCCCTCACATCCCATATGGTGAAAACAGGAGGTTGGAATGGGATTGGGAAGAGTTGGGTGTTTCTTTAAGAAGGTTTAGAGAGAAAAGGAGGATGGGAGGTAATTACCATTCGAAAGTGCTTTCAGCCAATTTGAAGCAAATCTCTTCTGGAACTCCAACATCAAATTGGCTTCAGGTGAGAATAGATAGACCTGAAATCCCTGAAGGAGGGAAGACTAACATTGGAAAGATGGGGTAGGGAAGTGTGAGGAAATTTGACAATTTGATTTTACATGCCTAGATTGTTTCATTTGTTCATTGACATTTTGACTACCGGATCTTTTCATTTCCTTTGCAAGGAAGACTTCAGAGGACTCTGTCCTGGGCCTTGGGAAGCATTCTGTAAAAGATTCTTAGCCCCCCATGTGGCTAGGATCTGCCCAGGATAAAGAGGCTGTTCCTCCTTGCTGGAGATAATCTTGAGACAACTTTACATTTCCAGTTTCCCTCCTTGGACAGCCAAAATATGAGGGGTGGAAACATGGCTTATAACAATTTAGCATCGTATCTTCATTCAGGAATTGAGGCTTCCAGCCTCACACACCTCCTTTTGGGCTTTATGATATTCTTGCCCAAGAAGTACCATTTCTACTAGACTATAACTGACTATAGACTTCTAGCAGGGTTCTCTCTTTTTGAAAAAAAAAAAAAAAACCCATGCACCTTAACCCACAGCAGGTCCTTGGTGATTTTATTTTTTCAGACCAGAAGGCTGCTAATTGCCCACTTACAATGACAATATGAGAAATTGAAAACAGTCTCAGACTGTTTAATCCTAGTCTGGCCCAGTTTACTAGAAGCCACAAATTGCAGAGGGAAGGAGCCCTGGAGTGCCTTGTCCCCTGCCCAGATACTTCTTACATAAACCAAAGAAGGATGACAAGAGTGTACACCTTGCCAGATATAAGCAGTAACAAAGTGTACCAAAACCTCTTTGGAATTAGCTCCCCTGATTTAGTACCCCTTCTTCTCTTGGACCATCCCAACCTTTTGCCAACATCTTGAAGGTTAGGACTTCTGTATCCAGCAAGGGAGGGAATTTGTAGTAAATTTAGGTGGCTTGGAATTTTCTTTCTGAGCCACGGAGGGATGAATCCTTTGGAGCTCTAAAAGTAATCAGAATCACTGAGCTGTAAGTGAATGAATATATATATACATATATATATATACATATATTAAATTCATTTTATAATAGGAAGTACTTGGAGTTAAATGTAAGGTATCTTTTCAGTTGCTGTTCTGTGCATCTTGAATCTTATCTGACACAATCAGATGACAGTATTGTTAACTCTCACAGCATTAAGAAGACTTCTTATTTTGTAGGCATTCACTGTGAGAGGCAAAATTGCTGCTTTGACAAAGATGATTCCAGTTTGCCAAAAGGCTTGCTTTTCTCCCTTCCACACACCTCTACTATCCTCCAGCCTGGCCCAGGGTGAAACAAGTGGTTTACCTGCAACCGTGACTTTTATTTGAATTCAGCATTTTGAGTTAGAAGATTACAAGAAAGAAAATAAAGGGCCATATGCCTAGATTTTCATTTATCTGCCAAAATGCACAACTTCAAAGCCAGAAAAACTAAGGTTCATTGCTGGGAGTTGAACTTTTTCTAATTGGAGGACAAATTGGGGATGGTAGGGTCTGATCTTGGAGAGACTATCATCCTTCACTTGAGGTTCCTTTTCTAACTGTGATGTGGTCTCTCTTGAACAGAGTCATGTTGGAACTCTCAGAAATGACCCACTTACCTTGTAGGACCACGAGCAAAAACACCCTGGTGGTGTAAAGCCACTGATCCCCAAGGACTTGTAGTCCTTGATTTCTGCTGGTGTGTCTTGGGATCAGTCTATAAATCTTACCCATTTTTAGTGGCCAGTCTGGTCTGGACCAGGCCTGACAAACTTCTGCACATTTGCATCATTTTCATTCTGAGCCAGTAGGACATTGGGTAGACTAAAGCCCAAGAAGTGGTACTTGCTTTGGCTAGGGACATTTGATTTTTGTCTCCATCTTGATTTTCTGACATTGTTAGCCAAGTCACAATAACCTTTTTTGATCACTGGGAAAGCCAGACAAGACATTAAGGGAGGGTGGTTAAGGTGGGGGGGGGGCAGGAATGCTTATGTAGGGTAGAAAGAATATGGGAGTAGCTGTTTGGTTATGGTGATTCAGTCCTTTGGAACCTTAGAAGGCTCCTGTGGGCATGTCAGTGCCACCATGTCAGCCTCTAAGCCCCCCACTCCTTTGAAATGACAATACAAGTAGACCACAGTTTAAAGTAGTTAGTATAATTCTACTAAGGTTTAATCATTATACTTGTTCACTTCCTGATGCATATTTCCTAAATATGCTTGGGGTTCAGGGTGTGGGGGGGGGGAAATTGTCACTGTTCCATTGTGTGTCACCTATATTTTTCTCCCTCTGGTGACTTTGGCATCTTCTTATTTGACTTTCTCTTTTCATTTCCCTTGGCTTATTGCAGTAGTCTGCTGGTGCAGGTAGAGAGCTCAGTGCACCTATTCCCCTATTACTGTTAATTATCTTCAGTATTGTCCAAGGTTATTTTGATGTTCTAAGAAAATAATGTCATTTTTTTACAAAATTATCTTCTCCGAGTTAAAAGCAAAATAAAACATCCCCTGTGCTAGGGTGCCCATTTCAGCTTTTGATATTGCCCCCTGTACTTTTTATAGATGCTCTTTTGTCCGTGTTGGTAGTAACTAATGACTAGTGAATTTTCATGTAAATGAAGCAAATTAAATATTTCAGATTTTATTAATCTCATAACCCTGCCAAATCTGATGACTTCATTTTAATTACTTCCCAGAAGGCACTTCCCCTCCTACCTTTTATTTTATTCTATTCTATCTTTAGACTAACACACTAGGTAAAGAAACTTTAACTGCAAGGAGTCAGTGATTTTTTTAGTGTTCCCTGATAAATGATGTTATTGACAAAAGTAAGAAATTCTTTCATTGTTTTTTCCTGTGTTACTATCTCTTCTCCTGTGCTCTTGACAGTGTGTTTAGTGGATGGATAATACGTATTTCTCTTTCCCACTCCCAGATTCCAAATTCCCTGCCTTTTTGGCCCACCTCACCACAAAAGCTCCATAGTTTATTAATGTAAGTTTGAATGGATGCTTCTTTGGGGAAACTGCAGGAGTTAATGGAAATGTTTCAGAAAGGAACGAGACTGTCTCAGGAGTTGTTCTGTGATGGAATTTGGTCTGTTGTTTTGTTAATGCTGATGGAAAGAAACTTACAGCGCTTAATAAAAATCTATTCTTTTAGTAAAAATATTGTGGAACAATTTTGGGTGTGTGAAGTTTGATTTCTTCTCCCATCTCTGGATCCCTTTCTACAAAGGGGGAACATACTTGTCTCAATTCAGAAATGTTGCACAGAAATTGTGGAGTCTGTAGAATATCAGGCTAAGAGATCCCATATAAGAATAATCAAAAGGAAGAGAATATTTAGTTTCATGGTTAACTTCTTTATTTGGATGTTCTACAGGCACCTTTGACTCGACATTTCCCAAACAGAACCTGTCCTTTCTTCTGAAGTCTGCTCCTCTCCATGAGTGACACTCCCATCTACTCAATTGCCTGAGCCACAAACTGACCTGGGGTTAGTCATCCTAGAGTCATACCTTTCCCTCATTTCTCAAATCTAATTGGTAATAAGATCTGCTGATTACACTCAACTATCTTTCTATTTCTCATATCTCTCTCCTCTTTCCTGTCCCTGCTCCTGTGGCCTGATTCAGGCCTTATCATGTCTCACCTGGACTGTTGCCAGTTGCTCCCCTGTCTTACTCCTAACCAGGCAGTTGTAACCAACATTTTGTGTCTGAGTGAATGTACTTTTTTTCTGATTAAAAGGGCCTATACCTTTTTTTTCAGTTTTTTTAAAGGAATCTATGACAAAAGAAAGTTAAGCACCATTGCTTTAATCCACCATGCTTATCAGCTTCCAGAGTAATCTGTCTTTCTAACACCATGCTCAACAACTTCCATGGTCCCTTCATTATCTGGCCTCTGACCACTTCTCTAGCCTCATTTCCTTCCTTCCCTACTGCACCCAGTGATAATAAAGTGCATCTCATACACATTAAGCTGTTAATATCTGCTTCTTCTCATTTGCTTGTACCATTGTGTAGAATGCCTCTCTCCCTTTGTTTCTGATGCAGTCTCTACTTATTCCCCAAGATTCAGCTCATGTCTTTGACTCTTCGTGATCCCCAACTTGGGATCCCTATACAGACTCATCACAGCCAGCCTCTGTGCACTTTGCTGCCTCTCTTCCTCAGATGGAATGTGAGAGCAGTGTCCATGCTTAACTATTTCTGTGAGTTTGGCACCTACTGCACAGCATGCACTTAGTAAGCATTCAATAACTAAATCAAGGACAGCCAAAACACATTTGAAAGTGTGCTTTGGTACAAAGTGGATTGTAGACGTTTTGAAGCAAAGGATATGTTGGTGGCAAGAACACAGGAAGATTGAGTATGAAGGTTCATTCCTGAATGGTATTCATTTAGATGTATTTTAAAATTGGCTCTGAGAAAAAGGAGCTCTGAGTCACCTTTGAGCAATAGAGGGATGCTTTGAGCAGAGTCTGAAGCCAGGACTCCAGGGCATTCTTCTTACCTTACAGCTTCTGCTGAATGATGAATGACACTAGCTGAGCTTGGCCTCACTGATCACTCTGTGCCTTATACATAAAAATTATAAAAGGAAACAGCTGAGCCTGAAGGGGAGAATTCGAGGCCTACTGAAGCTTGCAAACACTTCATCCTTAAATGAAAATTCTATTATTTATAACATACTTTGTTTTAGTTAGATTCACACATGTCTTTTCCTAGCCTTGGATCTATGGTGGGAGATGGGACTCAGAATTCAATAGTAGGAAATCCTTAGCATTTGGCTTTTGAAAGTTAGTTTATTGAGGGTCTATTTTTTTGGTTTTGGTTTGGTTTTTTTTTTGTTGTTGTTTGTTTGTTTGTTTGTTATTTTGTTTTGTTTTTTGGTACCAGGGATTGAATCCAGGGGCACTTAACCACTGAGATATATCCCCAGGCCTTTATATTTTTTAATTTTGAGATAGGACTCACTAAATTGCTGAGGCTGGGTTGGAACTTGCGATCCTGCCTCAGCCTCCTGAGCCTCTATAATTACAGTCATGTGTGCACCACCATGACCAGCAGTGTTAGGCTCTTGAACATTATTTCTAATCCTCAAATAACACTGCAAAGTAAGTATTGTCTGCACTTTACATATGAAAAAAAAATTCAGTGATGCCCAAATCTGGGTTCTAAGTTTGTTTGTCTTAATAGATAATCCATTTCTGCCTGCTCAATATTCCTCTTTGGTAATCTTGAGGTGCATGTTTTTAACCATTACTACCAAAACCTTCTTTCTCTAAGGTCAAGCCACAAGGGAGGCTACAGTATTAGATATTAACTCAGGCCCATCATTTGCAACTTAGCAAAACTCCGTCTGAAAATTAAAAAATGGAATGGGAATGTAGTTCCATGGTAAAGCACCCATGGGTTCAATCCCCAGTACCAAAAAAGAAGAAGAAGAAGACAACGAAGGACTTTTCTGCTGATAACAGTTGTTACACTGTAACAATGAAAAATTATAAAGCATCTAGAAGATAACAGAAAATCCATGTGATCTTTAGCTTGATGATAAGTTTTTAAATATAACACCATGATCCACAAAAGGAAAAATTCATAGACTTTATTAACATTGAAAACTTCATGCAAGGTGTGGTAGCACATGCCCATAGCCCAGTGACTTGTAAAGCTAAGGCATAAGGATCACAAATTCAAGTCCAGCCTCAGTAACATAGTGAGATGCTATCTCAAAAAAAAAAAAAAAAGGGCTGGGGATGTAGCTCCATGGTAAAGCACCCCTGGGTTCAATCCCCAGTACCAAAAAAGAAGAAGGACTTTCATGCTGATAGAATTGTTACATCATTAAGAGTAGTTTGTAGGCTGTGACAACATTGGGTTAAATTTTTGGTGAATTACTCAAAAATGCACACCTTGGTACCTCTAGAGCTCATGATTCTTGCCCAACTTTTCTCCATCATGAAGGTGGAGGAGTATGTGACCCAAGCAAAGCCAA